ATTAAAAATTCTCTCTCTCTCTCTCTCTCTCTCTCTCTCTCTCTCCCCTCTCTCACTCTCTTTAAATTAAAAAAACTAATGCAGAAGTCAGAAAACAAGACAGCGATGTGACGTCAACTGCTAGGAGGACACAGAGCAGTTAAGAGAAGGGAACGGTGGCGGCGGGCTTTAGGAGTCAAGGAAGATTTGTTGGAGGCAGCATCACCTCGATAAAGAGGAGAAGAGAGCGTGGGAGTTGAGGAAGATGAGAAGGGAGTGATTAGGCCGGCCCTGAGCTGGGCTTCTAGTAGGCAGGGAGGGAAGTGAACTCACAAAGGGGTGACAAACCTCATAAATGTGGATCGTCACATGGATTAGAGAACTGGGAGGGTATTTCTACCAGTTCCGGTTTCAGATATCATTTTAGGGGAACTCAAAATACTATAAATACTTCACTCCCAAAATAAATACTTACTGAAAACTTTTAGACTTAATTTGTTGAGCACTTATTATGTGTTGGACATACCTTTTGTTTCGTTTATTTACCATATCTCTTCTAATTCTCTCGATAACCCGTTAAGGTTAGAACTGTTATTTTCCCCATTATACTGAGAGTCAGAGGGATCTGGTAACTTACCCAAGGACACAGAGCTGATAAGTGGCGGAGAGGTGTGCAGGATCACAAAGTTCAGGATCCTGACTGCCATGCTCCACCATATGCCACACACCGAGCTGGGATCATGTAACTGACATTCAGCTTCGGGTATTCCTCCTACTAGATCCCAGCCCGAGAACAGGGCTCCTGGCCGCAACTGCACAGTAGTAGCAGCTGGGGTGGAGGTGGAAGGATCTGGAGCTCTTCACTGGTGCACATGCAATGTTAGCGGAGTTGTCAATCCAGGAGCTGCCCTTCTTAGCCAAAGGGAAGACTCGTCACCTAAATTTGGTCCGTCAGACTCTTGTTCCAATGACTTGGACTCTGATCAGGGAGGGGAGAGAGGAAGCCAGCTACTCTGGGCATTCGGTGGGAGTGTGATGAGTTTGAGTTGCCTGGGAAATTTAGAGCGACCCTGTCTTGAAATAAAATAAAAAGGGAGAAAGGGAGGAGACTGGTATGTTTTGGCCACCTAAACTCCCAAAGCATCTGTGTTCTCTGTCCTTTCCTAAGGCTGATTCTCCAACTTCCCGTCACCACCATCAGTTACCCCCGGCCTGCCCGTGAACTCCTCATTTCTAAAGGAGCCAGAATTGGTTCCTAAGACTAAGGGGCAGGATCAAAGGACCAGCAATGGGCATAGCAGAGGGGAGACAAAGAATTGTAAAACCGAAGTGACCCTTGGATAAAGGTGAGGTCCGGGACTGGGGTGGGGCAAGGGAGGCACCCAGGACACAAAATGGTAGGAGTGAAAACAGGGTCCCCCCTCCTCCTTCCAAAATACTCGTGTCTCAAAGAGCAAAGATTATTTCTTTTTCATATTAAAATATGAAATGAGCGTTGCAGGGCGGTAGGGAGCTTTCGGCCCCAGGTGATCATTGGGGACCCTGGTACCCTCTGTGCCGTGACTCTGTCCTCCCCCTGCACATCATCCTCCTCATTGTCCTCCTCATCATGTGGTCAGGGCTGGGTTCGCCTGGGGAGGAGAAAGGGCAGGGTGGAGGCAGCCCGCTGAGTTTAGACCCTGGCCCAAGGTTCCCGCATCACCCCACCTGCAAGAACTAGTTACCCACCAGACCTTCCCGGCCTCTGCACCTGGGAAACACAACCTGGGTAGCCATGGGGCCCTGGAAGGAGGGGAGAAGGGACTTTGGTGGATAGCTAGCCATCTCCGAGGCAGTCCTTGCTCCCATGAAGCCTACTTTCCAGAAGATTCTATTCTGAATAAAGGCTGCTGAGTTAAGTGTTGTGGGGGTTGAGGGATGTTCGTGGACTGGAGGAAACCAGGAAGGCAGAGAGATGGGGGAATGCCACTGAGAAGCTTAGGGGCCAAGGAAGGCCAAGACATGGCCTGTCATATTTTGAAGTGGCAGGAAGGACATGGGCTGGATCAGGTGGAATGTTCGTGGAAGCTCACAGAACAGGATGGGAGGCAGAGGAAAGTCCGGTTTGAGTCTGGCTTCTGGGCTGACCTCAGATTATCCTTAATCTTGCCAAGCCTTAGATTCCTTCTTTTTAAAATAAGTGTGATAACAACATCATTAATATAATAATGCACTAATAATGAGCAATAAAGTAATAATAACAATAAGGTTGTTGTGAAGCTTCCACAAACCAATGTCTTTGAAAGGCTTGGGTATCCAGCAAAGTGCTACAGATCAGGTGTGGACGAACCACTGTCCCAAGTCATCCCCTGCTTTATTTAATAAAGTCTCATTGGAACACAGCCGTGTGTGTGTGTGTGTGTGTGTGTGTGTGTGTGTGTGTGTGTGTATGTGTGTGCGTGTCCCCCCACAGCAACTGAGCAGACATGATGGAGACTTGTGGCCACACGTATGTCGGACCTGGACCTAAAGGGAAGTTTGAAAGTTAGTAATGGCTGAGCCTTGGCCTCCGGAGCATCACTTTATTCACCAGTAAAACAGAGCTAATAAAAATCAACCTCAGTTCCAAGGTGTTTAGAGGATCCAGCGAAACAACGCATTAGGAACTGTTTCACAGACTGTAAAGTGCCATATAAATGGTGGTCATTATTTAGTTCCCTTGCTGAGTATGGGTTTCTGCACAATAAAATGCCTATCTCCCAGGATTGTGAGAGAAAATAAGTGAAGTATAAACGTCGGACTCAAACAGGGAGCGGCTGCGCATCTCCAGCTGTGAATGTTGACCCTCTTTGGCCACAGTGTCCTCATCTGTAACAAGGGATCAGCGCACTCTCCACCCTACGGGATTGCAGCGAGCACTGTGGGACGTAGCAGGAGAGAGTCCTTGGCGAAGTGCCCGGCCTTGCTCCGATTCGCAGGTGCGGTGACGAATGCCACCTCCCCCGGATCCCTACCAACAGTACAGCTGAGCTGTACCCCTCTGCCTCTGCTCAGCGCCCACGGTCAGCCCTGGGTGCCGGTATAATTAGCTCCATCTCGGTAGTGAGCCGCGGCTGCTCACTGCAGCTGACACGACTGTCACCTCCCACTCAGTTCTCCAAACCAGTTATCCCCACTGTTGAGAGTGTGTCACGTGCCCACTGGGCACAGAACTGAGTGCCACCAGAAAACAGCTTAGTCCTCACAACCCTTGATGTGTCACAAGGAATCAGAGCCTCTTTCTCCATTCTTGGGATGTGCACAAAAAAAAAAAAAAGAAGAAGAAGAAGAAGAAGAAGGAGGAAGGAAAAAAAAGTTGGTGGGGGGAGTCTACCTCTTGCCTTTGCTGGGAAATCACGTTCCTCCAGACCAGAGAGCCTGCCGAAGAAAGGAGACCTGTTTCTTTAAGAGGCCTTGGCTGGGGGGCGGGGACTGTCGGCGTTCCTTCACTCCCGCGCCGGCAGCTAGACCCGCCCCTTATTGAGTGACAGACAAGCATTCCAATTGAAGGAAGAGAGCTCAGCGTGACTGCGAAACGGAGCAATAGAAGCCCGGGCCGGCTTGCGAGGGGCGGAGTCCCAAGAAGGCGGGGCGGGCGGAGGCCGAAGGACCCGCGGCGGCGGGACCCGGGCGCGGGAGCTGGGCCTAGGTCTGCGCCCTGGTGAGTGAGGGGGGTGCGCCCGGGGTCCGTGTGCGCGGACTGCCGGGAGGAGCCGGCCGGAGGGACGCACGGAGGAGAGGCGGGTCCGGAAACGGGGTTCGGGGCTGCGGCCTGCTTCTGCCCCGGGGGCTGAGGGGTTGGAGAGGGCGGGCCTGGGCTGGACCCTGCCGGCTCCTCAGGCCTCTCGGGGTCGCGGCCCAGTAGGGCCAGCCGGGCGGGAGGGACCGCTGGCCTCGCCGGGGAAGGGTCGCCGGGTTGGAAAGAGGGCGGGCCGGCGCGGGGAGCCGGGGCTGGGCCGGGCAGCGCTCGGAGGGCGGAGGGTGGGAGCCCGGGGAGGGGGAGGCCGGGGGAGGCCGGGGGAGGGGACGCGCGGGGACTGGAAGGCGCCCGGGAGCGTTGGGGCCGGTGGAGCGCTCGGAAGCCCGGGTCTGCTCGGCCTCGCCGCTCCCTGGTGCATCACCCCTCCCGGTCCATCCTGCCGGCTCCCACCCATCCACTGTCCCCTCGGTTCCCCCGCAGTTCAGGCCCCTCTTGGCGGACAGTTGCAGTGACCGACGGGTCTGCCCACAGCCCCGGTTCCCGTCGGCCTCGCGTCGGGCCCGGGGGGGATTTGTTTCGAAATGCAGACCAGGTCGGACCCTTGGCTTGAGGCGGGCCGGCTTCCCACCCACCCTCGCAGGGTCAGCACTGGGCCCCCGCCCAGGCCCTGGAGATCTGGCTCGTCTCTCCCCAGTCCCGTGTCCCAGTACCGTCCCCGCACAGGCCTTTTTTCTGTTCCTGGCAGCTCTTGGTGTCCTCTGGGGCTTTCTCTGAGTGTCTCTTCTCCCTGGTCTGGAGTCTAGTAAACTGTTCATCCTCCAAATTTTCCCTCAAGTATCACTTCCCCCGAGGAGGCGTCCCTGGTCCCTGACTCCATGAGTCAGTGCCCCGCTTTGAAAACCCTGTGTTCTCTTTCACAACACTTGCCCAACTGCAGTTTTACATTTATTTAAGAAAGTATTAATGTCTGTCTGTCCTACCAGATAGTAAGGCCCACAAGGAAGAAGACAATGTTGGGTTTTGCCCTTGGTGCCCTTAAGGCACTCTAGATATTTACTAAATAAATGAGTGCAGGGCTTAGATATATTGAAGAAGGGGGTGTGGATTGTGGTCCCTGACGTCTACCTGTGGGAAATGGAAACCAACTTTGGAATACTTTTTGTGTAGGAGGCTGGATGCTGAAGTGATGCTGTCCAATAGAAAATAATTCATATCACATGCTCAAAATTTTCTGGTTTCAACATTAAAAAAGAAGTTAAAAGAAACAAGTTCAATTAATTTTAATAATAATATTTTACTTAACCTAATATATTCCAAAATGTTAGTATTGCAACATGTGATCCATATTAAATAGTGTTGACGGGATATTTTACTTTTTTGTACTTAATTTTTAAACTCTGGCATGCATTTTATGCTTAGGATAGCCCATCTCACTTTGTAGTGGCCACTTCCCAAGTGTTCCATAGCTAGTGGCTGCTACATTGTGCTGTATAGTGCCAGACACTTTATATACCTCATAGTGTTTTATTCCCTCCAGAATATTTTGAGGGAACTATTTGTATCTTCATTTTACTGATTTAAAAAAAAAGAATATAGCTCCTAAAAGTTGTTATCTGCCAGGGATCATCGCAGAGTTTGTGAATGGAGGAGCCAGGACCAGGACCTCCATATTGAGTCTAGTTACTCTTTTTATACCTCGTGGTAGTGCCAAGGAAGTTATGAGGTACAGGAAGTGGGAACCAAACTTCTTAGAAACAATGGCACCAGTATATAGCATACTCTAGCTCATTCTATACCAAGGTAAGGTATCTGGATGTATTAGCAGCACCTGCCTTGGTGGCTTAGAAGTATGTACAGTTGATACAATTGAAGAAAAATACCCTGCAAGGCAGTCCTCTAACTCAGTCACCATACCTTGCCCAGCTGCACTAATAGCCCGACCCCGGGAGCTGGGTAGAAAACCTACACCTTGTACCATTTCAGAGGTGCTGAGAATACTAGGCTTAAGTTTACAGTCTGAGTTCAGCGGTTGCTTATTGAGTATCTACCATGAGGCCAGCACTGTTCCAGGCCAATGATGACTAGACAGTGAAAGTCGCAGCCTTCATCTTCAAGATGCTTACATTTCTACTTAGAAGGGCGAGACTGGATCACATCAAATAACTAAATGATGTGCAGCTCCAGAATCTGATTTGCTAGAGGCTACAAAGTGGTTGTGTGGCTAAGCTGCATGATGTATTTTTAAGCACAAATTGAATTTGAACTCTTCTAGTCAGGGCAGTTCCTTATAGTTTACTCAATTCCGATATGAAGGCTGTTTGTTGGTTTATCTTCTTACCTGTCTGACTGCTTAAAACGTTTGACTTTAGAACCCCATTAGGCATTCTGCTTTAATTTGACTCACTAGAAGATGTTTTTTCATCTCCAATTGTGTGTCAGGCATTGTATTGGCCTCTGCTCTGGAACTGAAATAAAAATAAAAGGTTCTTCCACTAGGAATAATAATAATGATGATAATAACAACAACATCTACAGATGCCTTGCCTTTTAGACTGATTTTTCTCCCTGATTGCCATCATATACCTTCTCTAATTTTGTCACAATCTGGCAGTGGGTTTGTTTGTTTGCTTGTTTGTTTTTATGCTGGGGAAACATGGTTACAGTTTTTATTTTTTCTTCAAGTTCACACAGCTAGAATTCTGCTAGATATTATGCTCAATGCTTTATATATGTTTTCCTGTTGAATGGTCACACAACTTTGAAAGGTAGGTTTGGTTCTCATTCCCATTTTACAGATAAGGAAGTTGTTAATCCAGGTCTGTTCCATTCCAGAACACAAGCGCCTTAGCATTAACCTGCATTGCCTCACAATTCAAGCATTGGTAGAAACCTCGAAAACATCTAGTCCAGCCCCTACGTGTAGAGCCCATCCAGAGAGGCTTGTGTTTATGGCAAAGCTGTGCTGCAGAGGGAGGACTGAACCAGGAGTGGGGGCCTAGGTCTTCTTTTGTCTCTAACTGGTGGTGTGATGTGGCCTTGCCAGTGGCTCTGTCCCTTACTTCCCTCCCTTATAAAATTAGAGGGCTTGGCCTAATTTTATGAGAACAGTGCTGTGTTGTTATGGTCACTATTAAAGGAGTTGGACTCACAGCCTGGGATTTCAGTCATAACCCAGGCCTCTTCTCAGCCTCCCACTTCCTCTCCCTACTCAGGCTTCATCTCCTTGTGCAACCATGGTAATTTATTGAAGGGAAAAGTTTTTCTCTCCCGTTTTTGTTTGTTTGTTTATGGTACTGGGGATTGAACCAGTACCATTAAACAAACAAACAAACCACTGAGTTATATCCCCAGACCTTTTTGTTTTATTTTGAGATAGGGTGTTGCTAAGTTGCTAAGTCTGGCCTCAAACTTGTGATTCTCCTGTCTCAGCCTCCACAGTAAATGGGATTACAAGTTTGTACCACTACATTCATCAGGAAACAGGGTTTTTTTGTATGGAGGATTGAACCCAAGGGACACTTAACCCCTGAGCCACACTCCCAACCACTCCCCCACCCTTAAAAATATTTTATTTTGAGACAGGCCTTGCTAAGTTGCTGAGGCTGGCTTTGAACTCATGATCCTCCTGCCTCAGACTCCTGAGCCCCTGGGATTACCGGTGTGTGCTACGGTGCCTGGAAGAAAACGTTTTCTTAAAGTTCACCTGTATTTCTGTCTTGGTTTCTGTTTCCTCTTATTTCCAAAAGTGGAGGCAAGTAGTCTACAAATCCCTTCTAAACTTTCAGTTATTGTAGTTAAGGATTCGGAAAGGCCTAGATAATGGATAACCCTATCAGTAGTGTTCTAAAGGCAGTTAGGTCTGGGGAGAGCACAGAGGATATTTGTGGTATGGAATTCTGTGGACACAGCTGTATGTAGGGTACTGTGTTAAAGGCTCAGGGGACGGTTTAGTGGGGAGTAGATACAGGCTTCAGAGTCTTGCCCTCAGGTTGCTCATCTTCCTGGAGCATGGTTTCAATCCTGGGACCCATTAAAATCATCTGGGGAAGTTTTGGGGGATTGTTTTATTTTTGTTTTTGGTATGTACTAGGGTTTGAACCCGAGCTTCCCACGTGCTAGGCAAGGGCTCTGTCACTGAGCTACTTCTTGCCATCCCCCCTTTTTTGATTTTGAGACAGGATCACTTTAAGTTGACCAGGCTGGCCTTGAACTTGCAATCCTATTGCCTTAGCTTCCAAGAAGCTGGGATTACAGGGTGCACCACTGTGCCTGACTTACCACTAGTCTAGGGTCTGCTTCCCAGACATTCCAACACTGGGGTGGTGTTGGCAAATTCTAAGTCAGGGGTCTGGGCTAGAGGGGTGCTTCTGCATTGGTACTAGCCCCAGAGATGCCCCCGCTGCTGGCATACAGATCCAGTTTTAGTAGCTAGGGAAGACTGCACATAGAGAATCACAGTAATGGGCCCAGTGAAGGGCTGTATGGAGGACTGATGCACAGATGAGGGTGCAGGTAGCTGTCCCTGAGGTAAAAGGGTCAGGAAGCCACAAGGAAGAGTGGTACCTGAGTGGGGCCTGGAAGGCTGGGCAAGATGTTGCCAGCAGAACAAGGCAGAGGGAACTCAGCACTATAAAGGTCCAGCCTAGAAGAACATGGTGTTTGAGGGACAGGTGGCCTGGTGAGACGGACTTGGTGTCTGCGAAGGTGAGTCTGAAAGCTAGTGTCACCCCAAAGGTGTGGTGAAACTGGAGTAAGTTGGATGCTGTCCTGAGCCTCAGCACTATTCTCTAAGCTTGGGAGTGTTACAGGAACGGTCTGCAGGAGGAGAGGAGCTGTGGGGGCTCTTAGGGTAGGAGTTGGGGGTGAAGCCACACAGTATTTGGTTCACACAACCTTCTCTCCACACTTTTCTCTGTGCAGGTCAGTGGTTTTTAACCATATCAGGTGAGTCCTGAGTTCAC